AAGCTCTTCCTCTGCCTGCTTTGAAATAGAGGTGGGATTTCAACTGAATCCTGAACTGGGTTTTGCAGAATCTCAGCCAAGTGAAGTTTTTCTAGTGTTTGCTGCCCACCCCTGTTTCTCTTTATTTGGGCAGAAATAGCATATTTTGGATAATTAATTCCATAAAAGGCTCAGTAGCTTTTATGCAAGTTGCTGTGCAAAATAAATGTCATGCTGTTTCTTCAGCTGTGCAGTACTACGCATTTTCCCTTTCTAAACAGCAACCACCCCAAAAGGGAAGGAAGGTATTCTTTTGCAGTCATGTCCCTCTGGCCTCTCTCTTCCTCTGAGCAAGATTTTCTGCAGCATAAGAGATGAAATGTGGCTCCTTGTGCATATCTGTCATTGCACACTGACTTAAACTTTAGATGTATGTTGCTGTGCTGCAGTGGCACAGAGCAAGATCTTGCACAGGTCGAACTGGCTTTACAAGCAGTTTCATTACATAGGGCCTGTGAAATGGCATCCTGTGAAAAACTTTCCTCTCCGCCCGTGCTGGAGGCTCCAGCTGATGCCATGGAAGAGTGGGAAGTAATTCAGAATGATGTTTATACTTGTGCTGGCTCAGCTCATGCTTATGTTTCTTACTTGACATGGCACTGCCTCTGGTTCTTGAAGCGTTCTGCAGACAAATTCTGTCTTTGGTGAGGAATCTGTATTACTTATAACTTAATGATCTTTTTATCCTACTCAGGAAACAGTAAAAAAATGGAGAAACAATCAGATTTTCTGGGTATGTGTAGATTTGTTATTTTGTTGCTGAATTTTGTCAAAGAGAAGAATTATTTTTATATGCTACTGTGTGTTGTGGGAGGTGGAGTCTGGATTTTGGGGGAAGAGGAAGACTGGTTTCCAAGGCAATGGAGAAAATCCACAGCCAATTCAACCTCGGTATCTTAACAAAAAATTGTATGTATGTGTCTCCAAATGAGGCAGAGTGTCACCTATAAAAATCATCAGTAGGAAAATATAAGGATAAATAGATTTATTTCAATATCTATTTATTAAATAGATTTATTTTTAAAGAGCTGAATCTCGTGGTCCTGGAGGAAAAAAGAAAGCAAACCTTTGAGCAAAGAGATCACTTAAAAGTGTAAAAAATCCATCTCTCTCTGGTTTTCATCAAAGTTACATTTTTCAGAGTGAAAAATACAAGTCTGAGAAATGCAGTAGCATCTGTTCATCTGTGTGTGTGTGTGTTAGACTCTGCTATAAAGCAGTGTCAGTCCATGTACCTGACCACTTCAGGATCCTTCCTAAAACATCCCCTGGCCACCATGCCAGCAGGAACTGGAAAAGATCAAAACAGAATAGAGCTCAACACTGAAGTTGTCTTGTATTGCAGGCAGCCAGAGCAGCCTCTGGACCAGAGACCATCTTTGTTTGACACAGACATACTGGAGTGAGTCCAGCATAGGACTACTCAAATGATTCAGGGACTGGAGCATCTGTCATGCCAGGAGAAGCTGGGAGAGCTGATGCTTTTATTTTTAGCCTTGAGAAATTTCAGAGAGGAGTCCATGTGTATAAATGTGTCTTGATATGTAAAGATACCCCATGAAAGGGAGTAAAAAAATGGAGGCAGACTCGTCTCAGTGTTATCCATTGAAAGGAAAAGGGGAACAGGCACAAACTGAAATACATGAAATGTGAGAAAAAACATTTTTGTGGGGGTGTTCAAACAGTGGAACAGGTGTAGAGGGACATTGTGGACTTTCTGTCCTTGCAGATGCTAGAAACCCACCATGGCACAGGTCTGAGCAACCTGCTCTAGTTGACCCTGTTCTGAGTGGGGAGACTGGACTGGAAGATCACCAGAAGTCCATTCCAACTAAAACCGTTCTTCCATGAATCTATAAAATCTGTTCTGGGTAACCTAGAAAAAGCTCTAACCTTACCTATTCAGTAGGTATTCATGAGCATAGCTCTTTACAAATTTCTGAACTGTGACCCTACCACATAAGTAGACTGACTCATGAAAAACATTTCCTCATGTCTCAGTGGTTTAAATAGATGACAGATAAGCATGGAACAGCATCTCAGCATCTGCCCCTGAGCCCCTTTTCGCTGTATTCCTCCTTTGCCATGTTCTTTGTTAACAGTTTGTCCTATTTGGGTGCGAGGGGGCCTCTCTGCTGGGTCTCACAGGTATCTACACCAGCTAGGTCTGGACAGGGCATAGGTGCTGGTCCTCTCTGAGGTTTGTGTACCTTTGTGTACATACCCAGCTTAGATCTCTTGGCAATCACCTTTCCGTGGGCTAGTAAGTCCTGCTGCACTAGACCCTGAAACTAGTATTTACTAAGCCTCTAAATCTTCTTGAGCAGCTGCTGGGGCAGCATAGAGAAGAAATGCAGATTTGGCAGAGGAGTTTCTCGGTTGCCTTCAAAGAAGTCCAGTTAAAGACCTTTGAAAAAGGTCCCCTTTCCCTTGTCTAAATTTTCCTGAGTTTTCTCAACCTTTCAGGCCTGGCAGCATCTCCCCTTACCCTCTTTCAGCACAGGTGAAACCTTGTTCCTCGCACCAGGTGTCTCCCCTGTGCCAGGTGAGTGTCCTGCATAAACTCCAGCCTGTTGCCTTTTGTCACATTCCCCCCCCACCTCTGCACAGGAAAGGAGCAAGCCCTGTGGGATAGCCAAGCCATGGGGAGCCACGCACAGGCTTTCAGCAGAGTGTCAGAGGCTTTCCAGGCCTGGAATGCAGCACAGTACTCAGGCTTTGGGCAGGTTTAGACACACATTGATGCATAATACAAGATGGAGCCTATCACTTGGTAATTGGCCTCTTTCCAGTCGGTCACAGTCTTGGGTAAGCACGTGC